GCGTCTTGTTTCCATTCTCCCCCAGTCCTCTTCCTCATCTAGCCAGTGGCTGTGAGTAATGCCTAGGTGGAGAGAACAGTCATTGTTTAAGTGGCTATCTTTTGGCCTGAGGGTTTGGGGGTATGTTGATACTTGTCGGTTACTATGACTTCTTTTTTTTCCCCCCTCAATTGCATCAAACCCTTAAAACATGGTGGTAAGTGAGCGATATGCATGCTTTTGGAGTTTGTTTAATCTCCGCTTCAGTCTATACGATGCACAGTTCATAATGTTAACACTTTTCTTCAAGTTTACTTCATTCACTTTCACAACTAATTTGGATTTCAGTTTGCTGTTTAATCCTCATTTACTTTGATTTTTGTACCTTTTTTCTGTAGTTCTGTTCTTTCCCTCTCTCCTGATTGCCCTGTTAGCGATCAAGTTGTTTTTTGTCTGACCTGTAAAGGGAGAGTGGTGCTGCAGATAGAGATTTAGTCCCGGAAAGTAGGAGGCACGAGGCTCCTTTCTTTGCTCCTTGTAAATGTGAAAGTGGATTTGGGAAGAGAGAAACGAAGGGGCTCATGAGATTTAGACACTAGTGTGAATAACAGCTGCTCCCACTTGCAGGCATGACCGCTACACCAGAGCCACTGTTGCTAAAACCCTACCGCAGCCCTTTGCACGTTATTGGCTTACTGGGCTGGACAGTGATGTTACTAGTCAGAGCCCAGGGCACACCCTCTACAAAAGAAAGAGAAGCTTGTGGTGTGACATGCTTGGGTTGGTGCAGACAGCATCATGCTTTAAAAGGGGTTAGCCTGGCTATTGCGATTCCCCCTCCCCTGCTTTTTCTTTTCAAGTTGGGAGTAGATTGGTGGTATTTTTCAGTCGGCTATCTTGCTTTAGATTTTTGTATTTTCAGGTGCACAGCTAGAGCACTAACGATATTCTAAGTTTGCAACGATGTCTTTTCATTTAAGTCCCCGAGTGCTTAGTTCCTATTCCTAGCATGTAGCTGAGCTGGCTTGGCTGGGATGTGAGAGCATTAGGGTGTCATGGTGAGGGAGGATTTAGGCTGGGCTTGTATGTCTTAGTACCTGATATGTCTTTGTTTATCTCCACTGCATACATAGCACACAGATGTCTTGGGTGTCCTTAAGTCTTAGTTTGTTCTCTGTATCTGTTCGGTAGTGTACTGTTGTTAGTAGTAGAATCCTGTGGACACTAGTGTGTCGCTAGCCTATTGTTTTGGCTGATAAGTCATTGGTTTGTGGTTAGTTTTTTTTTTTTAATCTTTTTTTTGCTCCAGTCACTGTGTGTGCTGGCGGTGGCTTTGCCTCTCCGTTGCCCTAAAGGAACAGGTGGAGCAATGTCTCCCTCTGACAGACATTCCTCCTGACGTGTGCTCCTGCGGATGCCGACACTGAGGCTGTAACCTCCATAACTGCTTCATGTGCACCAAGCCCCCTTGTGGAATCCTGCTGAGAGTTTTTCTAGAAGCCTTCAGTGAAACCAACCCATTGTGAATCATTTAGTCTACCCAACTTTTGTAAATAAAAAGAAACTAAGAGCATTTACTTGTTCCCTCCCACTTTGTGGGCCTTTAAAAAAAAATTCTGTGTGTGTATATCCCTATTTAAAGGGGACCAAGTTGCCCTTAGTTGAACCAGGAAAGACAAACTTAGAAATCAGAATCATAAAATACCAATTTAAGAAGGCTTCTAAACTCAAATAATGGAAGCTTTTTGATTTAAAAAATCTCCTGGCTTATCTGGGTTTGGGTTCTGGTTTTGGCCAAGGCACAACAATGAGCCTGTCTTTATCTGAAGATGTCACCACTATTCAGCTTTCCCCGGTGTGTCACAGAACATCCTCTGGTGTGCATAGTTGTTGCTGGTATAGCCCTGCCTGGCTGACCCAGTATTAGGTTGAACTATATGGCTTCTTCCTTCTCAAACTCATTCTCCAGACTAGACTCTCCTAAAGATTACAAAACAGCGAGAACGGTGTCCTTTGGGGAGGTGAGGATGTGTGGCTAAATGTATAGAATATACACATCCATCTACATTTGCAGGATTGAGGTAAAATTGTGCATGCATTCACCACAAGAAAACAAACAGCAGGATTTTACAACTGAAATGTTGGTTTGTCTTCTCATCTATTTAAGAGTGAAGCACTGGAACTTGGGGACAAGATGAATATAATGATATTGCAGCCTATCTGTCCGCTACAGTTGCAGTTTTTCATGACAAGCATTCAAAGTGTTAACTAAAACCATTGAAACAACATACCTGCCATTAGAAACTTGAATCTAGAAATAATAACTCCATGAGTGTTTTGCACCTCCAGATGGAATGGCCTTGAATAAATGCTATGAATAGCCATGTTTGCCACTTGCCGTTTGCTCTTCTGTTAATCCTTATGCCGAGTCTCACGATTTTCTCCTTTCTTCTCCTGTCTCTCAATGGATTATTTAAAAACTGAATGCCTGTGTAGACGATGAACCAGCTGGGCCAATGTAAGTACTTTATTGAACATTGACTCAATAGTTTCTGACTGAATTATTTTGCATTTGTGGTTTAATCAAATGGAGCTAAGATTGTAGGGGAAGACAGTGAGTGAGAATGAATGTTGCAGTGTAGATTTCTCAGCCTGACATGCAGCTGACTGATGGCCATTTGATTCCCAGGACAGGCTGTACAGTTTAAAATTTTGCACATCCCATATGCTTAAATTGATAACATGGGGGAAGTGACTGGTATATCTGAGACTTCGGATTTTGTTAAAGTTAATTTTAAGGTGGACTGTAGCATAAATAACCGATTTGGTTCCATTAACAATTAAGTGTATCCAAGAGATAGAACTGCAAATTTGGATCAATCCAAGATTAGCAGAATCTCCTACAGTTGGGGACTAAGGAATGAGAGGCAGGCAAGCAGTACCTAAATTAATTAAGTACCAGAGGGCACAGCACTGCCTGTATATGAGTATCTCTTATCTTTCAAGAGAGACAGTGGCATTCAGTAGAGAAAAAACTACTGTTCTCACTTTATAATAATTATAGTTTATAAATCAAAGGGGAAGTTACCTCTATGTTGTCTGCCTTGGGAGTCAAATGGATCTGTTAATTAAGAGTGGGTATTTTACACAGGGAATGTTTTAATATACTGATATTGTGCAGTAAAATTTTTTAGTATACCAGGGATGGCTGTAAGTGAAAGAGTCCCTGTATTTCCATGTGTTATACTTTCAAAAGTTGCTAATCACTTTTAAGTTTAACTCTTGTAATGCAATTTTTCCTCCAAAGGAAAACCAACTCTACCAACAATCACAAAGATAAAAACTTGCGCCAGAGAAACACAAATTAAGTACTACTTATAATGTAAGTATGGCCTTCTTTAGAAGTTTTAAAAATTATATTCAAATGAATGTGCCTCTGTTGACCTTGTTACAAATTCTTCAGTACTTGGGGTTGTATTGCAAGATCTCTGCATTCATTTCAGAGTGGCTCATACTGATAGAACCCGTTATGTCTGTCCACTGTAGTGGCTGGAAAGGAACATTTTTCAGCTGTTTCACATATTTACATAAATGCCATTTCAGAATATGTATGATGTTTCAAAACAAACACTTTGTGCTACTGTCTACTCATATCTTTTAAAAGAGATAAAGATTAAATTGTCACCTTCCTTAGGTGGATTATTCCCAGAGGCCCAATTAGTCTCACTCTGCTTCTGAGGGCAAGGCAAGAATGGGAGCCAGGCAGAGCTGGGCCAGATTGCCTTTCGTCAGGCACATGGAGATCAGAATTTCACACCACATCCCTGAGCATGCTTGAAACAAAGCTTTGATTTATGTGGCACTTGGTGCACTTCTTAAGTGACAGTACATATACCCTTTTAATTTCCAAATGCTCTTTTTTTTTTTTTACAGATCTTTAGGTTCCTGAAACTGGTGGAAACATGACCTGCTACATTTTCTGCTCAGACCTCTTTGGTTCTTTCCCCTTTAAGTGAGCAACACACAATGACTGTCTAAAGCATGCCTTATTTAGCCTCTCCTGTAAGGGTGACCTAGGCAGGTACATTTTAAACAGTGCTTCAGTGTAGAAGGTGTAAACTATTTTGGGCTTGATGTGCTGTGAATGTTGCTTTCTTTTCCTTTATTAAAATATTTAAATAGAAGTGAAAAGGTCCTCTGAGGATCAGACCATGCATGCGCCATTTTTTAATGCAGCTGTTAAATTGGCAAAGTTCTAAAATGCACTGCTGCCATCTAGTGATACATTTTTGTAAAGTACAGCAAAACCTACAGATATATACAGTATATAAATATATATATATATATATTTATATTTTTGGGGGTGGGAGAAATCCAAAATAAAATAAATGCTTGTTTCATTTTTAAGCTGATATTCATTCCTTACTGTATGTTGTCAGATGAGAAAATTGTGCGGTTCTGGTACAAAAAGATGAGTAATATAAACTGAAATCTGTAATTTTAAGGGCTTAACCTATGACTCTGGTAAGAAGCTGGAACAGTCCACTGATTGGATATAATGAATTGCAGTATATATGTATGATTGCTTTTTAAGTGACTATTTTTCTTTTATTAAATCATGTAAATTCATAAATCCTTTTGCACTGATGTGTTGAACCTTACTGTACATTCAATTAAGGCAAACTTTTATAATTTATCTTTTGTTTCCAGTGACCTTGAAATGTTCTAGCATGGTACTCTATGCAACTAGTTATACTTTGGGGTTGACACTGTATTTTTTCACATTGATTTAACGGTTGAGTGTAGATTTTCTCACCCGGCAGGGTGCTCACACGGTATGTAACCGCAGATGCATGTACTTGTGTTTTGTGTAATTGTTGAAGTGCAATGATGTATAAAAAAGTGGATCACCTGTTTTTAAAAATAAAATATTGATAAAAGGTGTTTGGAGTAATATTCTTTATTCTAGTATCTTCTCTAATCTTGAGGAAGGATTTTTCAATGCTTTCAAGTTCTTTAGTTCTACATGTACATAGAGTACTAATTTCTCAACCCCATCAGCTTTTTTAGTTCCTTTTCCACCTCTTCCACAAATGCTGGGAAATTCTGATCCAGGAGGCACAAGCGTAGAAAGGGGCCTAACTCTTCAGCATTCCACGCGGATTGTTCATAGACAAGGGGCAGCTCCTCTGAAGCCAGGAGAGACTGTGGGGATTCCAAAAGAGAGCATTTTATTAGCGACTACAGGTGAAAGCAACGGCCTGAATAACAGAACACAGGAAAGATTAGGGAAATACACACTAAAAATTAGTGTGAATTAGCTTTACAGGGCTCCTTTACATAATGTTTCTAAATACACATAAGAAGTTAGATAAACTTGCATCCTTAGGTATTTTAAATGTATTAATGAAATGATTTGCAAAGATCCTACTTTAATGAAGAATAGTGTGCTGGTAACACTATGGATTGATAAGAAAACCTAGCTTAGTTCATCTTTCCCACCTCACACGTGGAGGGATGGCTGTGAGCAGTTCACCATGTGGAAACGGGCTCTGAATGTAATAAAGAGCAGTCATAAACTGACCATCCAAAGCAGCAGTCCCCAGCCTTTTTGGCACCAGGGACTGTGGGCATCTAATGCCTGATCTGAGGTGGAGCTTAGGTGCTGATGCTAGTGCTAGGGAGCGGCTACAAACAGATGAAGCTTCGCTCGCAAGCATGCCGCTCACTTCCTGCTGTGTGGCCGGGTTCTTAACAGGCCACTGACCGGTATTGTTCTGTGGCCCAATGGTTGGGGACCCCTGGTCCAGAGGACACAGTTTACTCACCAGTGTCTTTTTTCTGGCCCTTTGCATGAGGTTTGACAAATACAGAAAGGCATGCAACCATCAGCACAATCAACAGAATATTTCCATCGCTTCTCAGGAAATCCCCTCATCATACCCTCTCCTGTTGTCAAACCACTGATCTATTCTCCATACCTTACAGTTTTATCTTTTCCAGATTGTCACATAAATGAAGTCACAAAATTGAGCGTTTTTTTCATGTATTTATTTGCCACCTGTATGTCTTTGGTAACTTGCAGTGTTTTAAAACCAGTTGAGTAAGTTGCCAGTACTTAAATATTAGAGTTCAAGTAAGTCTGATAGTGTTTGGCAATTTGGAAGGTATGGCAGCGACACCGATGTAATGACAATGGGCTCTGCTGCGTCCACCTGTGCTTGGTTCTTGGACACGTCCATCTTAGTCGCTCCTCAAATAGATGCTATCAGGTAGGTGGTTTTATAACCTCTCTATGGATGACAAGGTTTGGTGTGTATTATACAACTTCTCTAGAAATTACGTATGATAGAAATTTACTTTTCTAAACTGAAACCAGCTTTTCAGACTCTAGAGGTAGAAAGAGGAAAAGGAAAGTAACAAGGAGCCCTGTTCTCCAGTAAGAGCCACTGTTAGCATGTCAGTTTATCTCCTTCCAAACTTACTGTGTATATGTGTTTACTACAAACAATAAAGTTATATATGCTGCTTTATACCCTTTAAAAAAACTTTTTACTATGACTATCTTTCCATGTCAGTAGAGATGGGTGTACTCTTAACTGCATTTTCCCTCTTAACTGCATTTTCATGCCATCCATGGTGATTCCGCATTTGAACCACTCGGTATCTTATCAGTGAGCGTTTATGATGTTTCCAATTTTGTTACTATAAACAATAGTGAACAACACCCTTACATGTATGTTTGTGTAGCTGAAAGAGAATTATAGATGTTAAAGTTGACCTGTATTGCTCAGTTGCTTTCCAAAAAGTTGTACTAATCATATTCCTAGACTGTCCAGAAAGAAAACAAGTAACATATCTGAGCTCAGTCTGCTGCTTTTTCTTATTTGTACATGGTTCTTCTATACTATGTAAAATAAACTGGGCTAAGGAAGACCTTTTATAGCAGCTGATATTTCCTGAATCACACCCTACCTTATTCCATGTTTTTTTTGTACCTCTACTGTCCTCAGCCACTCTGATTCAATTAATCTCTAACCCTCAATGCAAATATGAGGCTACAAACTGGCACTATGAAGTCTGCACTGCTGCTGGACAAAGAAACTTTTAATTTTTTCTCTTGTCATCGTTGCAGTTATTAAAAGAAACCTCTAAAGTTTTTTATTCTGATTGTCCATTTATTTTGAGTTAGTGGTAAGCCAGATGGAGAGAATACCCATATCTTCTTTTTCAGTTAGTACAGTTTGATACATTAAAGAGAAAATTCATCCTTTAATAATGATGAATTCCATGCAGGATTCTGTGGGAAGTGTAAGCTGCTGGCCTGCGAGCCTGTCAAGCACCACCAGGAATGCAGTGAGGGGACAGTCCTTGGGGAGTTCCCAGCAGAGCAGACACCAGGTAACAGTCTGAAGGAAGAGGCTATGCAGGACTCGTGACAGCGCACTGCAAGGGGCCGGGAAGTCTAGGAAGTCTGAAGGCAGGTGTGTGGGAACAGTTGAATTCTGGGTTTCCACACATCCTAGCTGGGATCTTAGCACTGAAAATTTGTTCCTGTAGAAACCACTGGTGATCTGACTCCAAATTCATATTGTTATTTGTCTTAGAATAGTTACCAAATTTCAATTAAATTGAAATTCTTCCCTTTATTTCTCTTTTTGGGAAAGTGGTAATGAAATTCTTTCTCTCACACATTTAAAGGCTAACACTCTAGGCCATTCTTTCTTTTACTTCCTTAGGAGCACAGTTCTTCAGTATGCACCATCGTGTCTAATCTCACAACAGAGCAGATGAAAACGGCCTGTCTCTGTAACACCTTCTCTGACAAGACTTTAGGTTACTAATCTAGAACAAGAAAGTGACAGAAGGATACAAATTTTCAGGATCACTGTTTTTCGTGACAAGAAAACTAAATATGGAAATAGGCCCTACCTGAGCTAACCAGGCCACTGAGGTCCTTCCTGCTGGAACACTTGTGCGGGCTGGTACACACTGCTGCTGCTCCGGGTGCTGGTGTGACTGTAATGAAACAACCGCAATAAGGAGACTAGCTGAAAATGATCATAAACACCACAGGCTATTAAAGAAGTGGAAACACATGCATTCATGATCAAAGAAGAGTATCAGAAAAGTTGGCAAAATCACCGGCAGTGTAGTCTGTCCTGTTTCAAGCTGGGCTGTTACTTGATTTACCACACAGAGGTATGCACAGAGTTTAAATCGGGCTCCTGCCCTGAACCTGGGGTTTTTCAGTGTCTGACAGACTTAGTGCTCCTTTCTGTCCAACACTGTGGTGGCGTACTTGTCTTCAGAGGCCCAGCTGAGGACCCAGCCCAGGACATGCTGGTACCGGAGGGCAGTGGACATTGCCAGCTTCTGATTATCATGATATTGGTTACTTAACAATTATTACTCAGGTAATACATGTAGACTGCAGAAAAGCAAAGCAGGAAAAAAATGCTCTATAATTGTAAGACAACCACTTGTTTTTAATAAAAACTGGGTTTTAAAAAACTTTACATACTTTTATTGAACTTATTGGGGGTGACACTGGTTAATAAAATTATACAGGTTTCAAGTATTCAGTTCAATAATATGTTGTATGTATATTGCATTGTGTGTTCACCACCTAAAATAAAGCTTCCTTCTGTCCCGTTAAATTTGACTCCCTTTACCCTTATCCACCTCTCCTCCCCCATCTCTCTGGTAGCCACTAAACTTGTCCACGTCTATGAGTCTCTGTCTGGTTCGTTTGTTGCTTTCAGTTTTGCTCAGTGTGATAACCTCAAGATCCATCCATGTTGTATGCCAGTTTTTCATCTTACGGCCGAGTAATAGTCCATTGTATATATTCACCACCTCTTCTTTATCTACTCATCTATCAAAGGACACTGGTTGTTTCTATATCTTGTCTACTGTGAACAGTGCTGCAGTGAACATCGGGGTACATGTATCTTTATGGATAAATGTTTCCAAATTTTGGGAGTGGATAGCCAGAAGAGGGATTGCTGGGTCATATGGTAATTCTATTAATTTTTTGAGGAAACTCCTTACTGTTTTCCATAGTGGCTGTACCAGTTTACATTCCCACCAGTAGGAACCCTCATACACTGCTACTGGAGGAAAAAAATCTCAATTTAGACATTCTGAGAGAACGAGTTCTTAGACATTGGTGATAAAGGGAAGGGAGCCACAAAGAACAAGGTAGAGGTCCAGCCATCAAGAACCCACAGCCCAGTGAGATCCTAACATGTAAAACATCGATTAGAATCTACCCCAGGAAGTGCTAGGATGGAGGCAAGTGTAGGGCTTTGGGCTCACAGTGGAGGGGGTTAACTGGAGGGGGTTGTGCTGAGCATGAAGTGCAAGAATGCTCCAGAGTGCCTGCTATTTCAAAAGAAGCTATGATGTGAGGGATTGTTCTCAGAACACACGTGACATGGTCCAGGCAAATACCACCACCAAGGTGTAGGAGGAAGCCTGGGGGCGTAAAAGGCTCTGAGGGCTGCTTCAGCCTACCAGCACTTTAGGAGAGCCCCACCAGCCCTCCGCCCTAGCCACAGGACTGCAGATCTGGCTCTGTTCAGATACCCTCGGCTGTTGCGGTGCTCATCTCCAGACAGGTGTTCCCACACCACGTGTGAGCTGGTGGTATACAGGGAGAAACCAAGGCCTTCTCTGGAAGGTGCCTCTGCTCTGGCTGCAGGAAGTCAGAGGTGCCAAATGTTTCCTGTCTTATATGGAAGCTGACTGTTGTTAGTAGGTATTAGCAAAAGAGTAGATCTGGACACATCAAAAATGTTGGAAGGACAGAGATGAAGGAAAGAACAAGGAGAAAACTAGTCAAGATTAAAATCAAAATGAGCAAAAGGGAAACGAATCAGGAGCCCTTAGGCAAGCCCCATTCCTCTCTTCAGCTTCCTCGCCTATAAAAAAAAGGTCAGATTCTAGTGCCTAGTGTTTCTTCCAGGCCTGATATTTGATGTTTTCCTAGGATACATATCAATTCAGCTAACACCATGTTCTTCAAAAGACTGGAAGAGGCATCAACCAAAAGCCATATGCCACAAACACTACCATGTGTGATAGAAGCACCTGAGGCTAATGGGGTGGCTCCAGGATTAGACAGTTGATCCACCCAAGTGCACAGGGATGGAGGATTCTGTGCACACAGTAGCTGGAGCCCCCTGGCTGCTTTCTTCTGGAATTCTTGTGCTAAAAGAGGAGAGAGTTCACCTAGCAAATGCCATCATCCTCTTTCCTGTCTTTCCTGCCCTCCTCCTGGATGGGCTGGGTTGACCTAGAAGCCCTCAGGTTGAGAAACACCTGGTTAAGCCACAATTAGCAAAATTGCAAGGCTGATGAAAAGTAAAAACAAAATATGAGCCAGGAAATGACTCAAGAACTTGAAATAGACACAGAAATAACTCCATTTGCAACAAAGAACTGTTAGGTAAGTAGGCATGAGCGACAGGAGCCAAGGCCCAGTCCTGTAACCATAGACACTTCCCTCAAAGACCTTTCCTCAGCACCTCGCAGAAATACCTCCCTTTTAAGGTTAGAAATTACCCTAAATCCTAGAGCACGAAGGCCATAAGAGCTGCTGGCCTACACCAGCTACAAACACATGCACAGAAAGTATTGCTCCTAACTTCAGTCTCATTATAGCATCATCATAATCTCATGACTATGCCTGGAAGTTCATAAATCTAGTTATAACAGACTGAATTCTGAGTAAGCACATGCGCAGTAGGCAAAGCCTCGTATGTCAGTCAAGGTGACATCATATACAGATCACCCAGGCCCTCCCATCACGGCCCAAATATAAGCAGACTTTCCCATCTCCACAATGTTACAGCTCTCCTGGCTGGAAACCCGCCCCTCCCTTTAGGGCGTACTATCTTACCTCTTCATAAGGACTGCAGCCTTCCTCAGCAGGGAACATCCTTCTAAAATGTACTTTTAATCTTTTTCTAAATCTCTCTGACGTGTAATTCTTTGCTGCATCAGCGGGTAAGAACAGAGGGACAACAACACACAAACCCACTTTCTACTATCTACCACCTCCTCCCCCACACCACTCGGGTGACGCTGGATTTCACATCACCTCACTGGTGACAAAACTATGCTAAAGAAATATATAGGTATTGGGAAAATGACACACCTGAATACAAGAAAGCAACAAGGTGACTAGAGCTTGGCCACAGCTTATACTTTGTGAGATAGATTCCAAGATAGGGAGCATGACACCAAATCTGCATAGCGGCAACTAAGGGCAAACTTAGGGACTGTTTTGTCATTAGGATGACTAGACTCTTCTAAGCAGTGCTTCACAAGGTCTGCACTCTGGTGAAGTAACACGGTGGCTTTATCTTCTACTCTGCAGCCTATACTCCATCTTGCCATGGCCCTGTTGACTCTGGAGTCCTGACCCTTGCTAATTGACTAGGATGCTAATTCGTTCATTTGCAAAAGGCAGGCAGATCTGAAAGGGTAACAGTACTGTCAGTAATAGTAATAATGGATAATGCTATTTAAATATTGGCAAGGCATTGTACTAGGTGCTCTATATATACAGCATTTAAATCCTCCCATTTTACAGATGAGGTTCAGTGACTTGCATGAGATCATGCAACTCCTACTTGGACCATGATTCAAACTTAGATCCATTTTGATTCCAAAGCCAGTGGTCTTTGCACATTGTGCTCTCTTCATCTACTCAGAACACCAAACTATGGCTCAGTAAGGTCCCTGAATACAAAATCGAGAAAAGACATGAAACTTTTCCAGCTGCTTGGGATATTTCCATCTAGATATTTGGACCAGCCTTTAAAATCAGAGAGCTAGAGCCATCTGCTGCTGTAGCTCAAAACCTCCAGCTTGCATTTGTTACTACATGTTACAATTACGATTTATCTTTTTACATTTAGATAATTATGTAGACAGATTTGTCTTCATTACCTTTATATGGCATTCCAGACCTATTTCCCAAATTCTGAGACCCTACTTGGTTCCTGTTGTACCCCATGCACTGGGTACTATAATCAGACTCTAACAACTGGTCAATGAAACCTACAATAAAAGGAAATCTATTTAAAGGGCAAAGGATCATAAGCAATAAAGTCCCTCATAATAAACCACACCATCCCATTTGTAGAGAGGGGATTCTTTAAGAATATAGCAGGAGCTGATGAGGCATAATGTTTGAAAAGATCCAGAGTTTGTGAGAAAAGCAGTTTTAGGGTTGACTTCGCAAAAAGATCACGCAGAAACAAATGAAGGGGAAGAATTCTAAAACACCGAAATCTGATTTGGCAAACAACACATTTAAGAGGAAATCATACAGCATTTGCTTAAAGAAACAGACTTTACAATAAATAATGTAAATTTATGTTCACCCTAGATAAATTATGAATGACAAGAAACTTTGGTGATAAAACAGCAAAAATGAATCATCTTGGTCCAGTGAGTTTAAGACCTAGCAGGATAAAGCGATGGAAACCATGTTTGGACAGTCGTTTCTCAAAGTAGGAAAAAAAAAAAAAACAGCTTGAAACTGGCATTTCATTCCAAGAGCAGAGGTAGGTGCTTATTCTAACAGCATCTGAGGCTATGCCAAAGAAATGAGAGAATATGTACTCCTCGGAGAAAGCCTAATAATGATTCTCAAGCTGTGATCACAAGACCGCTTTACACACTTAGGCCCTCAAACAGCTTTTGTCTCAGTTACATCTATCTGATATTTATCTGTTAGAAGTTAAAACAAAAATTTTTAATATTAATTCATTAAAAATAATCTCATTGTTAATATTTTAAAACATTTTTATGAAAAATATATTTTCTAAAAAAGGTAATTTGTGTAAACTTCTTTAACATCTAGCTTAATGGAAGACAGCTGGACTCTACTTTTGCATTCAATCTGCTGACACATGTTGCTTTGGCTAAAGAAAATCTGGCTCCACACAGATACGTAGATGGAAAATGGCAGAAGTATTTTAAAATAGCCTTTTCATATAATCGTGGACATTCTTTGATATGACACCAAAACTCAACAAGTGATAGTTTCTCAAAGGTTACTTGTAACATAGAATCTGAAATCATAGCAATGAACTCTGTTATAATTAAAATCTATGGGTCTATTTTGTACTTTGAATGGATCTTTTATCCATGCGTGATTTTGTAGCACCATACAGTTGGCCATTTGGAAAATACTGGCTCACTGAACTATACAGATCTTCCAAATGTTGAAACATTTTGTCATGTAATTATATTTAAAAAATCAAGTTCATTAATAGCAGCAATAGAAAAGTCTTCTGGGTTAGGAAGCTGTGAAGCTCAAGTGGCTAATAAAAGTTATCTGAGATTCTAATTTTTACTTGAGAAGCTTATTTCATCATTGTTGATAAATACTATCAGTTGTTGCCTTGAAATGACTGACACTCACTTTACTCATTTTTAAGAAAATGTCCACCAAATACCCAAACCTGAATAACCATAGTTTGTCTGTTGTTCTTTCAAGTAATGACAGTGTTCATTGAAGAAAGGCTAGCTCAGCTCCCAATGCAGTGACACAAATGCTGTCCCTTGGAACAAGTATTGTGCTTCAGAATGCAGGATTCTTCTGTTTGTTCTTATTTGCAAGTGATTGGTGAAGAATATGGTGTTTACTGGTACAGCTGGGTACCATGGCCTTGATTTGCACTAAGGTGACAACAATTTTGCTCACAATGCTTAAGGCAAATATCGTCAAAGTGAAAGGGGCAAATGATGTTTTAATATTACTACATGCACTGTGTGGATCCCTGAAAAGGTTTCAGGAAGGGGCCTGTGGACAATACTTTGGTGACCGCTGTCCCATAGTGACACTAGAATGTAGCTGGGACCCCCTCCCAGTCTAATTTCTAAAATTATAGGTAGCTACAATGAGAATCAACCTTCAACTTAAATAAGTCACTCAATATTAGATATCTTTTAACCTACAAGCCTGACGGACTCGACAACTGTGATCCTGGTCCCCAGAGAGCATTATTACCTCGTCAGGTTTCTTGTACAGCCAACACACACACGAGCCTACTTACTTGGTGCTGTAGTGGGACACCCTTCCCTTGGCTTTCATCCTCCCTCAGTGAGCTGGGGCACGGCCCGAGCTCCTGGCTGATTCCATCGGGCACCTGGACGGTTATGTACTGGGCCAGGCTCTGCACGCAGCTGCAGCAGTGTTCCAGCGACTGCTCCTTTGACTCTCCACTAAACTGTACCCGGAACATGCGACTCTTGTTCTGTTTGACAAATCAGAAGTTGTTCTAAGTGACCCTTGTCATATCACTTCAGCTTTATTTACTGTAGGGTCTTCTAGTGGGTGCCCCCTTTGCTTGGAGGAGGAGGAATGTGGATAAGGGAGCACGTACCCTAAATAATTGATGTAGGTATAGAAAAGCCAATAATTAGTTTTCTTCCCACTTTTGGGAGCTGTTCCTCATACTAAAGTTCATTTCCTTCAGTAAAAAATGGCAAAGCCCATACCATGCAGACCAGGAAGGTGACTATACTGACTGTAGTAAAAGATCAATGTTTCATCTTACTTTGAGATAAAGATTTCATAGCTTTTAATTCCTTAGTTGAAAAATCAGTAAAGCTAATACAGCATATCCCTAGCTCAACAAAAATTTTCTAGACCCGAGTATATAAAAGATCGAACTATGTAGATGCCCCATTAAACTAGCCAGTGAAACTGAAAAACAAGACTGGGAACAGGGGAAAGGCTGATACTAAAAGCTCATGTGTCATGTCAATGATGTGTAGTGTCTTTTACCTTTAAAGAGGCCAGAGTACCATACAGACCACACACAGAATCATATGTTGCCTTTAATAGGCTGTGTAAGTTACATCCCTTGACAAATCAGCAAGTGAAGGAGAGATAGAATTAAAATTTTAAAGATCTGGCAACTACATCGAATTTATTTGATTGTAAGTTTAAGAAAGACTAAATTATAACAACACTAAACCTATTATTTTAATAGAAGTAGTTTCCTATTTTTCTAGTATAATATTCTGCCTAGTTTAGAGAAGTCAACTTACACAAAAGACACCCCAAATGGGATTGTATATATTTTGTACCTTTATTCAATTTCCTCCATACAGAAATTCAGATGCTAGCTTAGCATAATTGACAGAGCTTTCCATTTATTAAATCACACTGCTAACTGGAAAATGTGTCTAACCACAGTTAGCAAAATCCTGTAAGTTCCTATACACAAAATTCCTTGATTCTCCTGTTTACAATTTACACGATTTAAATGTTTAGATAAAACCACGAAGTAAAGCCCCATATTTAGGTTACAGAAAACTCTTGGCATGGCTGAGCAGTGGCCAGGTGTCATGTTTAGAAGAACAGACACTGCTACCCCTTTACTGCACTGCTGGGTTCCCTTCATTTTTAATTCATGTAATCTTCCCCCCCCGCCACCCTCCGAATATACAAATAATCTATTATCACTCCCTCCAACAATAAAAAACTATGAAAAGGAAATATTCTTGTATCTATATATTAGAACATATACATACCCATATACAAATATATGTATTATAGTTTATATGTTATATAATATACAGGTTATATATATTACATATATATTTTACACTACTGTTTTGTAACCTAATTTTTCATTTAGCAATAACTATAAAAATAGACGTATACTTCATTACTTTTAATAGCTAAAGAGTATTCCTTTGACTCCCTATTAACAAACATTTATTTCCAGCCTTTTTTCCTATTATAAACCACAAAGGTTTGATAATCAGTCTTATACACACATTTTTATACATAAATGCCTGAAAGCAGACTTGCCTGGTCAAAGGATCTGTGTAATTTGGTACCCAGTGGCGAACTGCCTGGGGCGAGATAGCACCAATTCTCTCTCACCCTGCATTCAAGCACCCATTTCCCTGCGCCCTCCAACACCAGGGATTCTTAATCTTTAAAAAAAAATTTTAGCCTACTAGGTTAACAGAGATTTTTATCTTAGAATTTCATTTCTTTGATTATAAGTGAGGTCGAATATTTTTCTTATACTTATTGGTCATTTGTATTTTTTCCTTTGTTAGTGCCTATTCATTTCCTTAGCCACTTTTCTCTTGGATGAATAATCGCCAAATTATCAAGAGTCACTGAAAGCTAACTTTCCCTGAGGAAGGGAAAAGAACTGGTAAGTTCAGTTTCTGGTAATACTATCTATGAATCTTCTTTTTCTGAAATTGAGCTGATTTCTTGTTTACAGTTAATCAGCTGTTTCCAATTCACTCTAGTTCAGACTCTATGTGAAGATATGTATATGAAGTTATAGTAGCTATTTCTATTACGATTCTCTACTTACATAACCTTTGAGGAGCAATACATTAAAAACTATACCTCATAGGTAGATGAAAAACTATATGCAGAAATAGACAATTATTAAGTGTATAAACAGAGCAAAAATCTCAGATCAATTGTATAAGTCTAGTGGTGTCTACATGTGAGTGTACATAGAATGAATTTGGGTATTTAGGGTTTTTTTGGAATGCAGTTCCAAGAAATGACAGAGAAGGTTGTATGTCTGACAGCTTGACTGCAGCACTGCTCCATGTTTCCTTTTGTAAAATTCTCAGATAGAATTTAAGCTTATCATCTGAAGCCAGAAATACCGCTTCATTGTGTGAGGACCCAAGATAAACCCAAGGACCCAAGGTACATCAGGAAAAGTCTGAAAATGAGTTCCGTCTCCATCCCACATCCTTAACATCCTGCGGTAGCGCAATGGAAAACCTACCACCGGGTTAACGGAGAGGACTCCTAGGTTGAAAATCTTGACGAGATTTATTTTTAGGCCATAATTAAAAGTCAAAAAGTCTTTTAAATTCACTTGCTGTGAAATGAAAAGTTTTCAAGTATATACTAACAGCCGGAAACAGTCCCAAATACGCACTCTCAGCTCCCATCATCTAAGGAGATTAGCTCAAAATTATTGTATGTTAAGTGGTGGCTCATGTTAAATTGTTCCCACATTACTTCAAAACACTTAATTTCAAGTAAAAAATCCCTTTACACAGACTCCTTGAGGAAAAAACGGTTAAGGATAAGTGCTTCTCTCTTTGCACTTCACTTTATGTACTCACAGAAAAACTCACCTTCCGGGAGGTATGGGGCCCACTAAATTCTAACCCACAGTTGTGAACAGCATCTTCGAGCAAAGATTTTTTAAAAATAATTTTTATTTTTTTCAATTACAGTTGACATATAATATTAGTTTCCGGTGTACAATATAGTGATTAGATGTTTATACAACTTATGAAGTGACCACCTGGTTAATCTAGTACCCATTTGACACCGTACAGTTATTACAATATTACTAACTATATTCCCCATGCTGTACTTTGCATCCCCACACTATTTTGTAATTACAAATTTGTACTTCTTAATCCCTTCTCCTTTTTCATCCATCCCCCAAACCCCCACACCCTACCTGGGAACCATCAAAATGTTCTCTGTGAGTTTGCTTCTGTTTGTTCATTTGTTATGTTTTTTAAATTCCACATATAAGTAAAATCATGATTTTTGTCTTTGTCTGATTTATTACACTTAGCACAATAGCCTCTAGGTCCAGCCACGCTGTTGTTGCAGATAGCAAGATTTCATTCTTTTTTTATGACCGAGTAATATTCCACTGTATATATATACCACTTCTTTATCCATTCATCTATTGATGGACACCCAGGTTGCTTCCATATCTTGGCTATGGCAAATAATGCTGCAATGAACATATGGATGCATATGTCTTTTTGAATTAGTTTTGGGTTTCTTTGGATAAATACCTAGAGGTGGGATGACTGGGTCCTTCTTTGTCTCTTGATATAACCTCTGCTTTAAAGTCTATTTTGTCTGGCATAAGTATCGCTACCCCAGTTTTGTTTTGTTTTGTTTCTTTCATTTTCATTTTCATGAAATATCTTTTCCATTTCTTTACTTTCAGTTTGTGTGGATCTTTTGATCTGAAGTGAGTCTCTTGTAACCAGCATATGTAAAATTCTTGTCTTCTTATCTAAGTCTTTTGATTGGAGCATTTAATCCATTTATATTTAAAGTAATTGTTGATAGATATGTAGTTATTGCCATTTTATTATTCATATTTTTTATCTTTTTCTTAATGAAGACACCCCTCTAACATTTCTTGTAATATTGGTTTAGTGATGATGAATTCCTTTAGTTTTTTCTTGTCTGGGAAGCTCTTTGTCCTTCGATTCTAAATGATAACTTTGCTGGATAGAATAACCTTGGTTGTAGGTCCTTGCTTTTCATCGCTTTGAATATTTCAAGCCAATCCCTTCTGGTCTGCAAAGTTTCTGTTCGGAAATCAGCTGATGGTCTTATGTAAGCTCCTTTGTATGTCACTAACTGCTTTTCTCTTGCTGCTTTTAAGATTCTCTGCCTTTAACCTTTGGCATTTTAATTATGATGTGTCTTGGTGTGGGCCTCTTCGGTTCATCTTGTTTTGGATCCTTTGTGTTTCCTGGGTTTATGTGTCTTTCCTTTGCCAGGTTAGAGAAGTTTTCTGTCATTATTTCTTGAAACAAGTTTTCAATTCCTTGCTCGCTTTCTTCTCCTTCTGGTACCTCTATGATTCAAATGTTGGTATGCTTGATGTTGTCCCAGAGGCCCCTTAAATATTCTCATTTTTCAAAATTCTTTTTTCTTTTTGCTGTTCTGATTGGGTGCGTTCTACTACTTTATCTTCCCAATCACTGATTCAATCCTCTGCTTCGTCTAATCTACTGTTGAGTCTTTCTAATGTATTGTTCATTTCAGTTACTGTATTCTTCACTTCTGATTGGTTCTTTTTATGTTTTCTATCTCTATTTTTATGCTTCCTATCTCTTTGTTGAAGTTCTCACTGAGATTATCAAGCATCCTTATAATCACTGTTTTGAACTCTGCATCTGGTAAATTGCTTGTATCTATTTTGTTTAGTTCTTTATCCAGAGTTTTGTTTTATTCTTTAATTTGGGACATGTTTCTTTGTCTCTTCACTTTGGCCATGTGGAAATTCTTAAGCCACAGGCTCTATAGCTAACATTACATGGTTTTAACCCATACAGAAGACATGGGGCCCAGTTAGCACCAAATTAGAGGAGAGCCAAGGAGATATCAGAGATCTCACAAACCCATTGACTTTTCCTGCTGGTTTTAGATTCATCACTTAGATCTGTAAGAAGTTTCCCATCACCACTAGGGTCCCAACCAGAGCAGTTTTCCCCACCTCAAGTAGTAAATTCCTCTATTGTAAAAAATGGGGTAAAGGGGAAAGTACAGAGAAAGGACTTAACCAGAGATGGGATTTCAGCATTTTCTTTGACTGTTTGCTTTGAAACCAAAGCCTAGGCCAGACGAAATCATGAAAAGTTTCTTCAGTTAGTTACTGGGAGTGAAAAGTAAAGAGGACCGTGGTTTGGGTTTACTTATTTGAACCAAAGTCCTTGCAGAAAGGGAATTATGGGTCAACTGTTAGCTAATCTACCGAGGCCATTTTGATCAGAATTACTGAAAAAAAAGGAAATACAAGTAGGCAGAACTTATATACTCTATTATTTCTGCTAGAGAAATAAATATAATCTTTCTGCCAGAGAAAAGAAATATAATCTTTAACACTACACAGAATTTAACTCATATTAAATTGCCTCACGTCCCTGCTCCATCTACCTCCTCCTATTGCAGGGTGATTTCTTATTTTTCTCCCTAGTTGTAGCGCTTGTTCATTTAGATCCCAGGCGACTTTCCTTGCTGTTTGCTTTGTATTTCTGTCACAACTTTGATTTGGTTGCAAGAGGGACAAAAAAAGCCTCTATCATCTATGCCATTTTTTTTTTTCCTTCTCTCTCTACAATGATTATTTTTAAATTAAATTTATTTGGGTGACATTGGTTACTAATAACATTATATAAGTCTCAGGTGTACATCTTTATAATATGACATCTGTATACTCACTACTGTGTACTCACCACTCAAAGTCTAGTCTCCTTCTGTAATATATTTGACCCCCTTTACCCTCTTCACCCATCCCTCCACCCACTTCCCTTCTGGTAACAAACATTCTGTTGTCTGTAATATGATTATTTTTGAGTGTCAAACTATGACTGATTTTTATTTTGCTCTTTATAGTAAAAACTTTAAATAATAATTTATAATCAGGGAAAACTTAAAATTCAAATACATATGGCATGGTATAACTGTTTAAAAGACATATACATTCATTCAGCATGACACAGTCCAGGGCTGTGAGTCAGAAGCCCAATGGGTGGCCTAGTTCTCTGATAGCTAGTTATAACTTTGGCTATTGACTTAAGTTGAAATCAGTTCCCTCACATGTAAAAATGAAAATGGGGGTTCTAGAATTTTTTGAGTATATGCTACAGACCACTCTGGTGATCTGGTGAAGCCAGTGGACCCCTTCTTAGAGCAATATTTTTAATCACACAAAATATATAAGATTGCAAAGGAAACCAATTGTACTGAAATGATTCATTATAATATTAAAACACTAACTTGTGAATAATATATATGATTAACATACTCAATAAAGAGATCTAGCAATGCTAATAACCACCATAATTTTGAGGTAGTGATGAGCATAAATGACATTTAAGATATCTGAAACAACTATAATGTGATACAAAAATAACTGTGACTTCTATTGGTGTAAAGCTCTAATACTGTGGTCTGATGCATACATTCGTCATTGAAGGAAATGATAAATTTCAATTAGAGGTCAGTGAAAATCCATGCATTTCCTGGTCTCCTGAATTTTTTGAGGAACCTTTGGACGGCCTGTGGACCCCAGGTTAAGACACTTCTATTAGATGCTCTTAAAGATCTCTTCCAACTTTCAGTCTATGAGCCCATTAGAAATTAGGATCTTTCACCTAAATTTTAATATTGCCTACTCAGTGAATGTTAATAGATTGATTTTTTATAGTTATTTCTGAAAAAAAAAAATAATCCAGGGGATTAGTCTACATGTTTCTTTGATGAGAATCATTCTTTATCTTTAATATAGGTAAAAAGCAAAAGGGAATTTTTAATATTAAAGAGAGGAAAAATGAAAAGACATTCAGTGAAGCACTTCAAAGTACACAACTTTTTAACACCTCAGTAGCAAGACATACAATGATTTGCTCCATCTTCACTGGATTTGCACCCGGGCAATGGAGAATGGCTACACAGCTCCCTCAGACAGGTACTGACAGACCAAGCCCAGCCCTGGCTTTTCAGGAATGTCCTCTTACAAACTAGGCTTCTGCCTCTAGAGTCCTTGTTTCATGTTGTTCACCATGCAAACCTTTCTTAAACATGTGTGTTATTCTCAGTACCATTTCATCTGCAAAGAGAAGCTCCCACCCCCACCTCCCATATGCACATAAAAGATGAGTAGGGTGCACTTAAAAACAGCTGGCCACACAAGTATCTTGCCTTTATCGTTGTTCCAAACAACAGACAATCCATGCGTCTTACAATCTTCAACCAGTTCTTGCTACCAATGAGTGAAAACCCTTCCTGAAACAAAATAATTAAGCAAAATTAGCAAAAGAAAAAAAAAAAAAACAGGACATGAAGAATAGCTGTAGTGCAGCTGCTTCCTATTAGAAAGTTGTATGATTATTTATTCTATGACTTAAACACAGGAGAAATGACTTAGTATCACCAACTGCTAAAGATGACCCTTCCAATAAATCTCTATGTCCTAGTGCTCTTCCTGCACGTTAACACTGTTTCACCTTTTATTCATTTTCTTAATCATTTCATATTGAAAAACAATAAACTATTAAAGATGGTAAATGTCCACAGTCATATTTGCTATAAAATACTCTTCTATGCCTCTAAGATTTGCCAAAATATGACATTATATTCCTGAAATCCAAGGATTTGTTATACTAACATTAACTTACTGGACACATCCCTAACTACATAGTGAGATTTCTCTTCATGAAAACCTTATTTTCAGATTCCTATGAATAGAAAAATTGAAACAATTTGTTTTTGGAGGTTCAATGTTTAGTTCTTCATTTCAATCTGAAAAAAACAAACAAACCAAAAACAAAAAAGGCAAAGAGAGCAGTAGAAAGCACACAAGTCTCATAAGAGGGATAACAGTTGGATCCTAAAAGTGGAAAGATGATCTTTTTCTGCAGCTTATTAATAAATAGAATTAACTATCTAATGATTATGGCAGCTCATAAGCTCCAATTACGTTTTCAGTGGATTTCCTCAGTTAAGCAGCCCATTAAGTTAGAAAGTGTTTAGCATTTAATGAAACAAATACAGGGAACTGATAAACTGACAGTACGTAAAACCTGCATGCATATTGCCTTTCTACCTTGTAATGTCAGTCCACCCAACCAGGGAAGGCTGCTGTAGGCATTTGAGAAATCTCTAAGTCTTGGAAAACAACAACAAAATGTTATCTCTTATCCACTGGAATCATCACAAAATCTCTATTCTCAAATCCTAAAATGATGAAACTTCTGCAGAAATTCACAGCCCAGGAAAAACGTGTAGGTTAATTCCTTAACATTTTCATTAGAAAAAAGAGTCAATTCTAAAATGTTGATTCTAAGAGTTTTATTATTAATGGTTGGTTTTCTTTCTTTTTTTAACAGAAAAAGAAGTTAGGTAAACCATTTATGATTTCTTTTTAAAACTTTCTTGGAATTAGCAAAAAGAAATGTGTTCATTATTATATCCCAAAACATGCAGATACTGTAGTTTTAAATGACAGTATATGGAGAAACTAGCACTCAAACGCATTGCTGGTGCGAGTACAAATTGGTACATCTCTTATGGAGGGCAACTGGCAATATCAAAATTACAAATGCATTTACTCTTTAATCTAGCAATCCCAATACTGGGAATCTCAGATCAACCTGCACAAGTATAAAGTGACGCATGGACAAGGTTAAGCACTTCTGCATTTTTAATGGTAAAAGATTGGAAACAATCTAAGTATGCATCAATGGTGGACTGGTTAAATAAAGTATGGTACTCTATACAGTGGAATACTATAAAACTGTAAAAAATAATGGAGATACTATATCAGCACTCTTCAGTAGAAATATAATTTGAGCCACTTATGTAATTTTACTTTAAAATTTTCTAGTAGTCATATTTTTAAAAGAAAAAGGATTTGGTAAAATTTAATATTTTATTTAACTTAAATCAAATATTCTATTTAAAATGTAAACAATGTAAAACATTATTAATATGACAGCGCAAAAATAATGTAAACAAAGTCTTTGAAATCGAGTGTATTTTAAACTTACACCATATCTCAATTTAGATGCTGTATTTTCCATGGTAAAAATGAAATATAGTTCTAGCATAACAATAAAGTTGAGTTTTATGGGAAAATATTTTATACTGCTTCCATTTTAAAATCAAAATTTAAATTAAATTTAAACTCTGTCTTTTAGTTGCACTGGCCATATTTCAAATGCTCAGTAGCCACATATGGTCCTTAGCTACCTTCTCAGATGGTACAGTTCTATATGTATTGATCTCTACAGTACATACTGTCCAGCAAAAAAGCAACCTACAGAACAATGTCCATAATACATTATCTTTTGTATAAGAAAGGTAGGGGACATACAATGTATATAGTTGTGTGCTGCATAACAACATTTTGGTCAATAATGGACTGCATATACATGGTGGTCCCACAAGATTATAATGGAGCTGAAAAATTCCTATTGCCTATTGACATCGTAGCCATGGTAACATTCTAGAGCAATCCTTTCCTTCCATGTTTGTGGTGATCCTGGCGTAAACAAACCTACTGCACTGCCAGTTGCATAAAAGTATAGCACATGCAGTTACTGTAGTAGGCTCTACAATCTAGGTTGTGTTAGTGCACTCTATGATGTTCGTGCAATGACAAAATTGCCTAACAATGCATTTCTCAGAATATATCCTGGTAGCTAAGCAGTGCCTGACTATATATACCCTTATTATTTGCTTGCTTGCATTTACATTTAAAAAACAGAAGAATGAGTACACAGGAGACTAATAAAAATAGCTACCTGTAGGGAGTGAGACTGAATGGCACAGGGGCAGGGGTAGGGGCAGGAGTAAAAATTTTTACTGTATGCATTTTTATATTGCTTTGATTTTTTGAACCACACAAGCCTTTTATGCGCATGTACAGAAATATTTGTACAAATAAGGATACTCACTGCAATATGGATCACTGGCATTTAGCTATGTAATCTGTTTTAAAAACATGCCAGAGATGATCATAAATGCTTTAAAAAAAAAACATAGTATTTTACTTTTATGAAAAATTGAAAATGCTCATACCTGTTACAAATACGCTGATTTAAAGAAAAACAGCATAGGAGAATATGGTTACAAAAATAACTTGATAACTAACCTAGTCACTTGACAATCCACCTAGTCACCAAACCCAGAATACCAAAAAAACTTCTTGATGAATATGAAGTGTTTAGGTGCCTGGTGATTTATTTAAAAATTAGATCCTGGCTCAAGCTTCAGGGTTCTGCTTTTGACTCACTTTCCCGGGAGCTCAGGATTCATGAGGTTCAAATTACACTGAAAACGGGACAAAAAAATCCATCATAAAAGAGCTGCTACAGAATATGAAGATAATGTGCAGTGAGAAGAAAGCAAACAAAAGAACTGAGATTTTTAAAATTTAAATTTTTAATAATCATAGCCAACTGTTATTTATTAAGCTAATAAAAGGGAGCAATAAGGTAGATAATAAAAATTTGTAGCTGGGTTCAAGGATTAGATTTTGATCTTAGATTTAAATATGGACAGTTCTTCTACATTCAGAAATCCACAATACTGTCCTTGGGGAAGAAGTAATTGTCTTACTCAGAAGGACTTACTCCTTAGCATGAAGATAAACAACTTTCTGTCTCAAACTGAGATGGCTCAAACTAACATGCCCATTCAATAATTTATTTTGGAGTTATAATTTTCCTAACTTATAAGAGATATATAAACAGTATGGTTTCATAGTAAAACAGTCTGTTTGGAGGAGTAAGATAAATAAAATTAATAAATAATATTAACGCATAAGGACTACTATGTTTTAGAACATTTAACATTTAGAAATTATGATATGCTATGAAAAGTCCCAATTTGTTCCAAAAATATTTATTAAGAATCAATTATGTACCAGGCTCTGTGCCAGGTCTTATGACTGACACTAGCAGGTCAAAGTCTCTTAGAGAACTGACAGTCTAGGGGAAATCCAACAAATAAACCATTTAATAGTAATAATCTGGCAAGTTCCATGACTCTACAGAAGCACAGAAAAGAGGCATTAGATTATGAGGCCCAGAGGAAATGACTCTTAAATTGACTTTTAAAATCTTTTATTGTAAAATAATTGATCTACTTTTATCTCTGTAATATAGATTTCCAAACTTACAGAAAAGTAGAGAAAACAGTAAAATAGTATGATGAACCACCATGCACCCATCTTCCAGTGATAACAATTTTCATTGCATGGCCAATTTTAACTCTCATTGCCTGGATTATTTTGAAGCAAATCCAGACATCTGTAAGTATTTCAGAATGCACCTCTAAAAGCTATGGACTATTCTTAAAACAAACACATAATCATTAGCATGCATTTAAAAATAAATAATTCTTTAATATCAAATATCTTTGTCACTTCACATTTCTCAATTATTTTATTAAAATTTTTACATTGTTTCATTTTTTAAGACATCCAAATAAGATCCTCATATTGTGATAATTAATATGTCTCTTAAGTCTCTTTTACATTATTCGTTCTTCCTTTCATCTTTTTTTCCCTTGCAAATTTTTGTTGAAGAAATTGGATCATTAGTCCTCTAGATCATGGATCGGCACATTTTTTTTCTGTAAAGGGTCAGAGAGTAAATATTCTAGGTTTTGCAGACCCCTACAGTCTCTACTCTGTAGCATGAAAGCAGCCACAGCCAATGCATAATCGAGGTTGACTGTGTTCCAATGAAACTTGATTTGTGAACACTGAAATCTGAATTTCATATAATTTTCACATCTCGTAAAATATTATCTTGTATTTTTTCATCCATTTAAAAATGTAAATAACTTCGGTGAACACACAATGCAATATATATATATATGCCTTACTGTTGAATTGTATACCTGAAACTTACTGGATTTCATTAACCAATGCCACCATAATAAAAGTAAATAAATTAAAAAAAAAAAGAAATGCAAAAAATAAATAAATAAAAATAAAATAAAAATGTAAAAACTATTTTTAGCTCACAAGCCATACTAAGGCAATGGACCAGATCTCTTCCACAGGCCATAATATGCTGGCCCCTACTCTAGAGTTATTCTCACTAAATTTGGTTATTGTACCCCCATGGTATCTTTTAATATGTGTCTCAGTCTCTTGTAATTCTTGTTGATTGGTATTCAGATCAAGAAGCTTGATCAGATTCAGGTTTAATTTTTTTTTCCTAAATTTTCAAAACTACTTCCTCGGTGGTAGTGTGTGATTTCATATGAATGTC